TATGTCATATACTAATATACCAAATCTCGTTTTTTTAACTGAAAAAGGAAAAAAGTTATAAGGGTGAGCCACTTTTGAGACGCACCCGGTATAAAGGCGAAAGAATAATTACATTCAGTTATTATTAATGTCATATTCATTGCTGTTGTTAGAGTATGATATTTTCCGGTACCTATTATTACCCTTTCCGGGCTTTCCGTAGTATTAAACTAAAGAAATTTTGTTTTTCTGTAACATTTTAAAATAACAAAAAAACATTACGTTAATTAAAATTCTATGACTTACAATCAATCTATCAAATAATGAAAACGAAGTTAAATTACCATAGAAACACGTTTTAATTTTGTCAATAATAAGTTTTTCCCCTCTTGTAAAGACAATCCGGGGACATACTGTATTTTGATTGGTATTATTAATTTCTTTTAAAATCATTTTATTTTATATCACATTTTATATTATTTATAAATTACTTCCTGGGAAGGGTAATTACCCCCATTACCCCCATTACCCCTCCCCTATATGCGTCCCTGTTTACTGGTATACGTGAGTAATTAGATACTTTGATTCTGTCTCGCTGATTACTGTTCTTTTCCCTCAAGTTTTGTTTATAAAAGTCCAGTTCTTTATTTCACATACATTTGTTGGATCACTGTTTAGTTTTATTATGTTTATTTATTTTTTGATCATTAAGTCGAATTAACATGCAATGTGTTATACAGGATGAGTCTTAAATAAATGTAAATATTTTTAGGGGTGGTATATTTCGACAACAGTTTTTGAAGTCTGATGAGTTTTTTTTCGCTAAAAAAGATGTTGAAAATCGTGAATTTTCTTTTAAATTTTCCTGTGTATTTTGGAAAACATTTTAGAACTTTTTAGAAAAATTTTCCTCGGTATAATTTCTTAATCTCTGATATTGCCCCACTGTATATCGAGATCGGTAAATGCAAATTATACTAAAATTATATTTTTAAAACTAGGCTAAACAAACTTAGCTAAAACATGTCGACCGGAGGATGATAAAATATGTAGGGATTTCCCTTTAAAATAAATTTAGATGGCGTCGTATCTGTCAGAATTGACGTTTAAAAAAATTTCATGGAGAAAATCGGGATCCTCGTGTGAAATTACATTAAAATATCTTTTTACTATCTTAAAATAGAAACCAGGAAAATTGTAAATTAGTGAGGCACTTAAAATAATGTCCCTGTATTAAAATGCCGTATCTTGCTTTTTTATCTAAAAAAAAAAAATAAAAAAGTTATAGGAAAAATTAAAGTTATAGCAAAGTTACTTTTGAAAAAGATCCGGTATATCAACAGCATAAAATTTCAGTAAAAAGGAATTTTTACTGAAAATTAAAACAATAAATTACTTTATAGAATATCAAATAGCGAAATGTTTTCTTTGTTGTAACATCATGATTTTCTTGATGACCTTAATATTTACCACATTTTTCCATCATGTGTAATATCAGCTTGCATCAATAAATAAAATATATCTAGCATTAATAAACAAAAACTTTTTTGGTAAAATACTTTCAGTTCAGAATGAAATATAACTGTAATAAATATACATAGTTTTTGGTATTAATATTAATATTCCTTATTATGTTCATTATGTTTGTTATTTTTTTCGTATATTGATAATACTAATTTAGAATAACTTATGGAAAAATAAATTTATATAAATATATTAAACATGGAACACAATACATATAAATAAAATAAAAATATAAAAATATTTTTTTACCATAGAACTAATTACATATTTTATTAAATTAAAATATATTTAAATATATATGACGACCAAGCATAATTATTATTCTTCAAAAGTATCTATAAATAATACAAATATGTTGCCTTTTAAAGATTTTACGTGACTCAATTCATACCAGTGTAGTACTTAATTTTTTAGTTAAGAAATAAAAAAAATTAGTATTATTAGATTTTGTGTTTTATTGTAATTTATTTATAAAGGAACATAAACATGCTTTTATTTGAAACAAATCGAGAGAAAATAGAGGTCACGAATTTAAGATGAATAAAATATTTTTTTATATTTTTCTATCTAAATACTAATTTTTGCAAAATATTTTGATCAATCTTTAGCAAATGACATATTAGGAGTTGATGAAACAGAAATTGTCCATTATGATGGGAAGAATAATAATTTTTTATACCACAAATCTGTTTCATGAAACGTTTAGAATTTTTAAATCATTGTTAAAATTAGTCATGGTTCGATTAGAGGTATGAAAATAATATTTTTTATATATTAAAAGCTATGAATACAGAAATTGCTTCAGAGAACTAATAAAAGTAGGAAGTAAGTACCTATCTACCTAGACCACAGACAAACTAGTTAAAAAGTAAACAATATCGTAACATAATTTTACACTTATACAGGGTGTTAAAAATAGTGTTCTTTAGTGGGTAAATAAAAATAAAACCAAAAGTTTCTATGAACATATGCTCCCTCGAAAAGGTAAATAAAAATAATATATTTTTTTTATTTTCGTACTTTTTTTATAGAGAGTATACTACTGGTGTACTTATTTTATCCTTATAGATACAGTATAATTTCAACAAATGATATAAACAGCTAGGACTTTTTTAAGCAAAAAAGGTGCTAATCATTTAGTTCGAAACTAGACGAAAATATCTTAGACGTTTAGGTTACGACGCATCCTTTAAATGGAGTAAACGAAGAGCACCTTTTTTGTGTAAAAAAATCCTACCTTTTTTACCTTTAAGATGAAAAAAATACCACAAGTAGTACCCTCTAGCCTAATGGAAAGTATCCTTTCAGGGCTATTAAAGAGGGAGTTTTAAACTATCGCCATTCGCTTTGGCATTAAAATTTGTGTAAAAGTACCAAATTTCAAGAAAAACGGTCTACCAATATTCTAAAAAATAAACAAAATATATTATTTTTATTTACCGTTTCGAGGACTGTAACTTCCTCGAGAAGCATTTTAGGGCATATGTTCATAGAAACTTTTTGTTTTATGTTTATCTTTATACAGGGTGAGTTTCCTACGATGTTCTCTATGGGTATCTCGGAAACTACTGGAGATACAGAGTCGGCTAAAATGGGAAAAGAATTGCAGTTTTGTGGGGTCATAAATATGCGCCTGTCAGATTTTTGAAAAAGTTCATGGCTTACTAGATATTTCAAAAAAAAACAAATTTCTGCTATTTTAAAAATTGTCCCTAGTTCCATTATAAGCTATTTTAGACAAAAAGTTTTCAGATAAAAGTTGTAGATAATCACATCCTTAATGAGATTGTGTCCTCCGTTTTTTTCTAAAGCCTGTCATTTTTGACATATGACACAAACATAGGTTTTTTTAATGGAATCCATAGTTGGCCATGACTTCATAAAAAGCGCCATTTTTTAAGCTTTTTAGTGATATAAGCTATAATATCTTTTCTTCGAAAAATTACTGAGTTATAGCCAATTCTTGTCATTTTATGAACAATTTTACTTAGGTAGTCATGGAAACAAGTTCAATCGCCATTGCTCTCAGAAATGTGAAGCTGTCACATTCAAACTTTGTAAATTAAAATAAACAAAAATTGTAAATATGAATTTTTAAAATGAAGAAAACTCGCGGATCAATAGAGTGGCTCCAACATGACTTTCATTATGACACACCCCACACCCCCCATAATGAAATAAATGTTAAAAAGTATTTATATTATAATTATACAAACGCAGGGATAGGGAGAGGTGGACTAATTGCATGGGCCTCCTCGATCACCTGACCTATCCATTTTAGATTTTTTTATGCGGTATAGTTAACAATAAGGTTTACACAAGAACTTATGAATTAAGAGAGGCACTCGAAGTGACGGTACGAGAAAAGTTTAATTAAGTCGACCGGTCCTTCTGTGAGAATAGGTGAAAACTGGATTACTAGTTTTAAAAACATGCAACTCAAAACAATGGCGGATTTTTTGAACATTTTTTAAAATAACTTAAAGTGTATGTAGTGATATTATTTTTTTTAAGTTTTAGTTTGTGTAATGTAAATTGTAAAGAACCGTTTAGTAATATATTCTGACTTTTTATAAGTTATAAATCATAACAGAATAAGAATACCATGCAATCTAAGTGAAATTAGTCAAGAAAGATAAGAATTTGCTATAACTAAATTCTTTTCTAACATGTCTTGAAAACTGTTCTCTAAAAAACGTAACATTTACCGGTCAACGTATCCTAGAAAATGTATGGTCAAGAAAAGTTGAACCAATAATCCTACACGCTTTTCTTCATTTGAAAAATTCATATTTACAATTTGTATTCATTTTAATTTGCAAAGTTTGGATGTGACAGCTTCACATTTATAAGAGCAAAGACGATTAAACTTTCCATGGCTAACTAAGTGAAATTGTTTAAAAATGATAAGAATTGGCTATAACTCAGTAATTTTTCGAAGAAAACATATTATAGCTTATATCGCTGAAAAGCTTAAAAAATGGCGCTTTTTATGAAGCAATGGCTAACTATGGTTTCCATTTAAAAAAACATATGTTTGTGTCATATGTCAAAAATGACAGGCCTTAGAAAAAAGCAGAGGACACAGCCTCATTAAGAATGTGACTATCTACAACTTTTATCTGAAAACTTTTTGTCTAAAATAGCTTATAATCGAATTAGGAACAATTTTTAAAATAGCCGAAATTTGTTTTTTTCAAAATATCTAGTAAGCCATGAACATTTTCAAAAATCTGAAAGGCGCATATTTATGACCCCACAAAACTGCAATTCTTTCTACATTTAACCGACTCTCTATCTCCAGTAGTTTCCGAGATACCCATAGAGAACATCGTAGGAAACTCACCCTGTATAATAATCCACCGAAGTTAGATACACTATTTGTTTGACACCCTGTATAAAGTAATTTAACTAAATTAATAACATCCACGCAATCCACGCCACTGTTATGATGACACTGCGTGTATCAGGTGGAACCCAGCGGCTATATGAAAATTGCTCAATTACTGAAATTATGCGTTAAAATTTTATTAAATAAGCTCGTTTGGGCCTGAAAAAGTTAAAAGCTTCGCGAGAATTATAGTCACTATGAGACAATGAATTAAAGTAAACGTCATATTGATAAGAACCAGATAAGAATTTCCCCTGATTGTATCGTAACAGGCATGATTTTATAAAATGTTTAAAACAATATGAGTAAGACGTTTATGTTTCGATGTCTGTAATTTCAGGAAAAAATGTTAGATATAAAAAAAGTATTACTTTGGTGATTGTAATTATATGAGCAGTGTTAAAAGTGCGTGTTCTGTGCTGTTAAATTAAAAGGTAAGTTCTAGTTATTAATAATTAGTTTAATTAATAGTGAAAATGACAACTGTGGCAATATACTCACGCCCATATTTGATTACGTCATTCAAATATTATGTCTTGGTATGAGCGGTAAAATAAAGTACAGTTTTTTTATATTATTAATTTTTTGATTAAGAATTTTTTTACAAATACTTAACATGCGGTATGTTCAGAAAATGTTATTATAGTGCAGATTTGGCATAGTCGTGTAGTAGATAAGATTTTTTTAATATGTTAAAGATTTTTCAGTTAATTGACAATGTTTGTTGTGTACATAAATTTGGTGTCTTAAGATTTGAATATAAAAATTTATATTTTAAATATAATTAAATAGTTTTATAAAACTGTAGGAAACATTATATTTTTTTATTTAAATATGTAATACCTCGAACTTTTGAATAATCATAAATAAATTAAAAAAATTAATGAAATATTTAAAAAATAATAATAATAAATAAAGGTTTTTTAATTTCTAATAATAATCATTATCTGAATTAAAAACAAATTATTTCAATTTAATTTATTCATAATATTTGAACTTAAACTAATAAAACCCTGTCTCCGTTATTATTATCGATGTAAGGAATCTATCGGAAAAATATAACTCTTATAAAAATGTTTCTAAACTCTACAGGGTAGAGCCACGCATACGACGCGACACGAAGGGAGAAGAGAGTTTGTATTGAAATGAAATTTTGTGATCATATGTAGGTTAATTGAGAGCACTTTTTAAAAATATAGAGAGTTCTACAGGATGTCCCCAAAAAAGTTTCATACCAAAGTTGTGTTTTTTGCAATAAATTTCTATATCTACCGTATATAAACTTGACCCAAAAAGTTATACAGGGTGAGACAAATTAATATTGGACATTGGGCACTTCTAAAAGCAAGTTACTCCTTTATTTTAAATGGAACACCCAGTGTATTATTCCAATATCCAATGGGAAAGTCATGTCTCTTCTAAATACTATTAAGGTTGCCTACTCGTCAAACAAAGATTTTCCTAAATATTTTCTTTTATATCATTTAGTGTCAGTGGATCTTTATTATTTGATAAAATCTAGGTGGCTGGTGATATGTCTGACGTTACTTCAACATAGCTGTCTAATCAGTCCAACTTTAAAAACTAGTTATCATTTTGTGTCAGTTAAAAGAGAAAAAAAATCTCAGAAATTTGCCGAAAATGTAAACTTATCCTATATCAGAGCGAATTCATATGATTTTATTAGTTGGTGAATGCAGTGTGCATTAATAATGGAATACTTAACTGCTCCTGATTTTATCTAACTTGTTTTTTTTTATGGGGATATCTTAAAGAACTCAAAACTTGACCAACTATTGTCGACAACATGAAATAAATAATTGTAGCTGCTGTTCGAAGTACAACTCCACATATGCCTTTTAAATGAAAATATCTTTTGAAAAGAGAATCATTTTATGCAGTTAACAGGAAAGGAAGCATTTTGAGCATTTGATATCATTTAGCTAATTTTCATCAAATAATTATATGTTTATATCCAGTTTTAATTCTGTAATAATTAAAATATGTTTTTAACGTGTACGTTATTATTACCGATGGTTATTTTACTCTACATTCTTTAATTTTTGTGAAATTAACAAAAAGATCACAGCCACCTAGATTTTATCAAATAATAAAGATCTACTGACGCAAAATCATAAAAATTAAAATATCTAGGAGAATCTTTGTCTGAGGAGTAGGCAACTTTAATAATATTTTGAAGATATATGAATTCCCATTGAACACCGGAATAATATTCTGGATGTTCCATTTAAAATAAAGGAGTAACTTGCTTTTAAAGTGACCAATGTTCCATATTAATTGTGTCTCACCCTGTAGGTATAACTTTTCGGGTAAAATTTTAATTGACTTTAACATATAATGGTTATTGTAATTAAATATCAGGCTATACGGGGTAAATTAAGATTTAGGTAGTTTTTATTGTAATTTAAAAATTGTTCTTTATTTTTAGAAAATGTTAAATATGTCCATAAACCTTACAGTTTAGGCATATGCTTCTTGAGTAAAACTCACTTATATTTTTTTCCTAGAATCCGAAAACCAATTAATATATAGGGTGTTCCATTACGAAAAAACACAACCTTGATGTGTAACTTTTTTTGGGGACACCCTGTATAACTTTATATATTTTTATAAAATGCTTTCAATTTATGCTACCAAAATTTCATTTCGATATAAACTACCGTTCTCCTTGGAGGCTCCGCGTCGTATGATAGGCATATGATACAGGGTGGTATTGTATTGAAAATTAAACATATTTTCTACAGATTTTTTCGGCACTGTCATCATTTTAAAACATATATGTGATAACATAACTTATTTCTACTACACGGGGTGATTCACGAATTCACGGCCATAAATTCAAGGCTGTTTATGGAGAACCGGTGATAGGATTTCTTTGAAAATTTGGATTTTTACATAAAGGCACCTGCACCATTTGTCTAAATGATTTTCGTTGTTACAGTGTTGCCGATTCATATTAAAAGTAGCAGCATCTTTGTTAATTTAAACAGAACACCCGATATATTATTACATTTTTTAAAACAACTTCCATTTTTCATATTTTTTTAATAATTGTACCTATCTATCTCTCATATTTTTTGACATGAAAAATAAAACATGTGTAAAATTGATAAAATCATGTTAATATGCTTTAATAAGCATTCGTTAAATCATGATTTCGGCATATTTTCTGAAATTTGGTTTATCGGTTAAGGAAAGTCAATATATCCGATCGGTCTAAATCAACAGATTGGATATCACACACTACACAGAGAGATAAAAATATATTTATTACCGTTTGTCATAAAATTGCTCAAATCTCTGTAATTTTTTTTCGACCCTATGCATATTATTTAAAAAACTAAAGACTGATAAAATTGTTATTCAACGATATGTCATGGTTCTATACCTAAACCAGAATATGCAGAATTTTATGCTGAATTCCATACTATACAGAGAATTAAGAAAGTTGCAATTTAAACTATTCTCTCTCCTTACATTTTTTGGGACACGCGTATACAAGAAAATATTTTAGGACATGAACCTTTATAAACCATGCCACATTTATAAAAGAAACTTTTATATTTTCGTCAGCAATGACGATAATGGACCACCCTGTATATCAAGTACAATTATTGAATATAGTTTTTTAATAATATTTGTGTTAAAAAAACATCATTTTTTTATTTAATTTTTATTAATTAGCTAAACTGTTTAATAAAAAATTATATATTCTAGATTAGAAAATGTCAAATGTCAAGATCACTGCAGTAGGAGATGGAATAGTTGGCAAAACCTGTCTCTTCTGTACTTACACTTCAGGGGAATTTCCAGAAGAATATGTACCAACAGTGTAAGTAGGTATTCAAAAATAATGTGCCTAGCTAGGTATAAGATATATAAAATATAATTATTAATATTATATGGGCCGAATAACTCACAAAGAGACAGTGGCGACTCGTGGTCATTATTGTAAGGAGGTCAATTTCTAAAAATATTGCGTCGATTTTTTTTAAGACGCACACTCGGACGCCCCCAAATTTAATTGTTTTTTTACAAGGCACTTGTACTAAAATTATGTTTTTTTAAATGGAACACCCTGTATATTTATAAATCATATGATCTGTCTTGCCATAAGCTTCTCAAAAATATATATCACTCTATATTTATTTTCACTATTTACTGCAATATTTAAAAGTTTTTATTAAAAGATCATATTTATTAGTAGGCCATGATTGATAATAAAAGAAACTAAAGAATTATTAAAAGTATACTGCTATCTGTCTCTTGTTTTATTTTGGGAGCCGCTAATAAATTCTTTATATATTAGGGAAACTTAACTCTCTACCGCTATTTGTAAATCTTGGAATACGTGTATACGTAAGAATAATCTATCGTATCGGAAATTTTAGATATTCCTTTAGCTAATTTACGTGAAATATACTTTCAGCAAGATGGGGAACATTCCCCCTCATAACTATGGAAATATTAGAATACTGTTAAATTATTATTTTTCAAATCAATGAATTGGAACCAATGAACGCATATTGATAGCCTCCTCGATTCCCGGATTTCGCCGTTCTCGATTTCTGATTTTGGGGATTTTTGAAATACGAAATATATCGTGGGCACTACAACAATGTCGAACACCTGAAAAATGCTTTAATAATTCAAGATTTAGATATTTGCAAACCCATCCCGTTATAAAAAAAAGAAAAATATATTCACAGTTTCAGTGGTAACAGTTATTTCAAAAGTAAAATATATCAATCCCAAAATTTTAATATGTGTATGACTATTTTAGTAAATACCATTTTGATTTTTTGTTATTTATCACGGCCTACTAATAAGAAAATGATATATTTTAAATATTGCAGTAAATAGTGAAAATAAATATAGAGTGATTGTATACTTTTGAGAAGCTCATAGCAAGACAGATCATATGATTTATAAATATACAGGGTGTTCCATTTGAAAAAACATAACTTTAGTTCAGGGGGTGTCAAAAAATTTTTGGTAGAAAAACAGACTACGCCACTGTATTCTACATAAAAAGTTCTACAATAAGCAGTTTTCGCCTTCTCAATACCTTTAACAATAACAGAGATACAGGGAGTGTCCCAAATTGTAAAATTTTCGAAAAGACCCTGTAGCTCAGAAATGAAGAGGGCTATGAAAATTTTGTTTGCAGCATCTTCCATTTGACGAAAAAGTGGTACAGGTTTGTGCAAAACGCACCCTTCTATCTTCACTAATAACGGAGATACCCTATGATTTCAACTAAAATGGGACACACTGTACAGGGTGGGTCAAATTCGACGCTTTTAAATGGAAACACCCTTTTCTGTAGGAGATAGACAAAAACTAATATCGGTGTCTGGAGCTCAATTTTCATCAAAAACAAGATAGTGAAAACCGCATATCGATATCTGTTACCGTTTCGGAGTTACGGGGTGTTTTTTCAAAAATATGCATTTTTAACAAATAGCTGTAACTTTTTTGCTATGGAAAATTTTGTATTTTTATGAAAACATTTCCGAAGCACATTTTTACGTAGAATTTAATGGTTTAAGTATATTTTTTTAAAATTAATAATTTAAGAATTATCAACAGAAAATTTGATTTTTTATATGGGACACCCTGTGTATTTTTACTTTATTGAAAAGAATTTAAAATTACCTTTCTAAAAATATAACACAGTTGATATTTTGCTCGATTCCTCTTCGAGATATAGAGTATATAAAAATTCGCCCGCTTTAAATAAGTAGGCTTTGAACGGCACCGGCTGTAATGCAAAAAAATTCTAACTGTGAGCATCAATTAAAACGAAAATAATATTTGCTATGGGAGATGCAGAATTTTATAACAATTTAAAATATATATAACCAACATCAATACATTTAAACTATATCTAATAACAATAAAAATAAGTAGCAAACCTAGACATGAGTTTTTGCTACAGGTGTTCGACATATCGACCGTCTTCTGTTATGGGTAGACGGGGCAGTTTTTGAACATTTCTCGCGGTATTCATTAACTCAGGGGGGGTGAAAGATACCCTCTCATAACTGCTAAGTATTTTTAATTCTTGTCTCGATTATAAGAAAGAATAAGGGACCTTTATTCTTCCGCAAATATATCCATGGGTACTAAGTCAGGCGGCGTCGACGGCCAACGGGTGAGATCTTGGTTAGCTATCCAATTATTCTTGAAATTGGCTGATAACTTCAGCGTTCAGAGGCGATGCGTCGTCTTGCTGGAAAAATATGTTTTAGAGTTCCATTAAAGGCATATCATCAATAAGGGGCCCAAAGCCTACTAGTTCAAAGTGGCGAACTTTTAAAAATTCTGTATTTCGAAGGGGATTATAACAAAATATCAAGTGTGCTATATTTTTGAAAAGGTAATTTAAAATTCTCTTCAGTTAATTAAAAATATATACGGTGTCCTAAATAAAAAATCAATTTTTCTGTTGATGACTCTTAAATTATTAAGTTTAAAAAAATTATACTTAAACTATTAAATTCTACGTAAAAAGGTGCTTTGGAAATGTCTTCATAGAAATACAAAATTTTCCATAGCAAAAAAGTTACAGCGATTTGTTAAAAATGCACATTTTTGAAAAACACCCAGTAACTCCGAAACGGTAACAGATATTGATGTGCGGATTTCACCATCAAGTTTTTGATGAAAATTGAGCTCCAGACACCGATATTAGTTTTCGTCTATCTCCTATAGAAAAAGGTGTTTCCATTTAAAAGCGTCGAATTTGACCCACCCTGTACACTAAGGCAGTGTGAAAGGCATAGAGAAAGATAATGTAAAGATAAATAATCTTTACTCTATAGGCAGAGGCGGATTTTTAGGGAAGGGGATTGATAATTTGTTGAACCTAGTACATACAGGGTGAGACAAAACTATATGTATTTTTGTGTGCCATTACATATAAGTGCTATTACATACAATTCGAAATGGCTTTTTACTATGTGTGTGTGCAAATAAGAATAAAAAATTAATAATTATTAACATTTCATAAATTAGTTTATTTGTTCGTTTATTAATGATTTTTATGACACATGATTTCTCTAGATTTAAGATATAAAAGTAACATATTCAACATTGACAGTAAATCATGGACATTCTCGTAAATGTCCGGACTGTGGCGAGATTATTCGATGAAATTGTGTATTTACGTTATTGGCCGGGTATTATCGTAAATTTCCTTTACCTATACATCAACGTCCGTAACATATACATATTTTGACTAAGCATTATCAGCAGTCAAAACGAATGTCTAAACTAGAAACAAAATAAAATTTGAGAAATTGTAGAATTCGACATAATATTGTTACGGATTCCGTGGGTCCTTAATTTAAAACACATGATAAAACACTAAAACTAATTTATTCCGCAACTATAAACAGAATGATTTATTAAATAAAACACACTAATAACTCTTTGTCCGATTTTCTAGTTCCTTCGCCAATTCTTCGACAATTCGCTTATTTCCAAACTCTAAAATTGACTGTCTGCTTTCGAGCGATTCCCGCTTTAAATACTCAAGCGGATATTTTGGTAATTTCCATTCCAGAAACATTCTCGCAATTTCCATTATTACTTTCGGGACTTGCCCAAGACGTCCAAGAGATGGCGCGCACTGCGAATCTCACATCGGTAATAAAGAAAACGCTTAAGCGGTCGTTCGTTCCCCGAGAGATGTCACCCCGCTCCTTGACAATATAACCGTTTATGGGGAATACAATACAATATTTTAAAGTAATTTATCAGGAAAACAAACATACTTATGTTTCACCAAAAAAGATCTATAATAATAAGTTTTAAAAACGCCTATAAATACATATTCTATTTTATAATTTTACAGATTTGAGCAGTATGTACAACCAATTACGGTGGATGGAACTGTTCATAACATGACACTCTGGGATACAGCAGGTCAAGAAGATTACGAGAGACTTAGACCTCTTTCGTATCCTAAAGTAAGTATTCGTTGTTCTATTGTTTTTTAGATCTTTAGGGATTGTTATAATTTTAAATGTAATAACTTTTTATTTTTAGACAAATTGTTTCCTGGTTTGTTTTTCGGTGGATAAAAACTTTGCAGCGTATGATAATGTGCGGTTAAAATGGGTCCCAGAAGTACGACATTTCTGTCCACAAGTTCCAATAATTTTAGTAGGTTGGTATATTTCCTAATATTTCCAGATACGATATTCCTGAAATTATCACGTTATTCAATCAGTAGCTATTAATCCATAGTAAGAATTATTCCTTCAAATATCCTTTACCAGTTATTACATACACAGTGCAATTTAAAGTATGCTGTTGAAATTGTATTTATGCTATTCTAGGGCTATCAAAATAGTTCACTGCGTGTTATCAACGCGCACTGCATCAGATCGGACCGGCCAGCAAAGGCGACTGCGACCATCGTAGATATAGACGGCTACGGCGACCACTAAAACATTTCGGCCTGTAGAAGTGAGGCGCCTACCTCTACATATCTACGATAGTCGAGTCACCACCGTCGCCGTTTCTAGCCGGTCTGGTCCCTATTCAGTGTGCGTTCACCTTTATTCTATCCTTTTTTAATCTCTCTACAATTAGTGTTAAATTTGACAAGTTTTATGTCAATTTTTAGTAAATAATTGTCTCGAACTCGTCTCCATTTCGAGAGCATTCAAAGCTCGTTTTTCTTCAGCTTTTAACGTCCAAACTTCACACCCTGTTCTGTTCGGTCTTATGTTTTTGTCCCACCAGATGCCATTTGGTGCTCCTATAATCTTCCGCCCTTGTTCTATTCTAGAAGATATTTCTGATTCGTCCAGTCCACTTCTGGTTACACGTGCCCCCCAAACATTTAAACCATTCAACCTGTCTGAGCTTTGAGTCGTCGGTAATGAATATTAATATCAATATTAAATACCTATTAATATCAAATTGATTATCTTAATGTTAATATTAAATACCTATAAATATCAAATTTATTATCTGAATTGGTCACCAGGTATTCCGTTTTATCGGTGTTCACAGTAAAGCCCCATTCCGTGTATGCCAAGTTTAACCTGCTCATCATGAATAACCTGCTCATCAAGGTCGTAAGCATCTTGATCTTTTACCACCTGATCATCGGCAAAATTCAATGTAACCAGTCATCCTTACCGGGACGCCCATCTCCCCACACCTTTTCTTCCAGTCCCCAAGAACCGCTTCCAAATACAGATTAAATAAAAGAGGAGACAGGGAACATACCTGTTGAAGGCCTTTAGATGTAGAAATAACCTCAGACGGTTTGTTGCCGCTCTTAACATGGGCTGTATTGTTGTTGTACAGCACCTTAATTAAATTTATGAGACAGTCATCCACATCAAGTTGTTCCAGTACATACCATAGTTTAACTCTGGGGATGGAGTCGTAAGCTTTTTGAAGGTCTACAAAAGCTAGATGTGTGTCTTCTTCACGTGAATTCCGTTTTTCTATCAGTTGTTGGATAGTAAATAGATTATCTATACGTGAACGCCCTGCAGTAAAGCCACTCTGGCTCCTCACTGTTTTTGTTTAAGTAGATTATTTTTGTAAAAAGTCTGCTGAAGTGATATATTATAGTCTATATATAGATATGCTAATTTCCATTCGCTCAGTGGCGGCTCGTGACCCGTATGACTGTGTAGGTGACAAAATTTTAGTTGCGTCTATTTGCCCCCCCCTCCTAAATTTATATAATACCCTAACCCAGTTCGTAAATATATGTTGGCTCTGGGTTAAAAACATTTAGACTTTTCTGTAATATCATCTGTTGTGTCGTTCTTCTTGCACCGAATAAAATAGCGCGCTCTTTTATTTCGGATTCTTTTATTTCTGTGGCGTGTTCTGAAATATAACCGGTTATATCATTTTGAATAACGTTTTCAATTTGTTTTAAACGCTTTTTGAATTTTCATATAAATGTTTTAAATGCTATGTATAATGAATCATATGAAATATCCCTTTAACGAAATGTGATATATCCCCTTATGAAATATCGGGAATATCCTCTTAGAAGCCTACCGAGCATCCACGACTTCATGCGAAGGCGACCGGAGATTTCGCCTAAGCCCCGCGTTAATACGATACAACTCCGACTTACATCGACAGAGACAGAAGACTGCCGTACGTCGTGCATCGACTCTGATAGTAGGCGGAAAAGTAGAAATCGCCGAACAAAGGCGTTTGCATTCACTCCAACGGTCAAAATTATTTTGATTTCTAACGCAACGGCACAGTCAGCGTACACAAGCGGTAGTGAATATACAAGACCACAAATATTAAAATAAAATTGATTATTACAACACACTTCCGTGTATTAACAGTATTTTTATGTATTGGCAACATTAATAGTAAATAATGTAATGTAATAAACCTCTTAAATTCTGCCAAAATTTTAGGGCCTACCTTGCCTACCCTGACGAGCCGCCACTGCATTCGCTGGGTGTTTTGTTTTGATCTACTGACATCTGCATTTAGTTTGTTATTTCTGTTATAAGACATTCTCCGTCATATTTTAGCAGTTCCACCTCCAGGACCACTCGGTCCTGGAGCTCTACTGTTTTTCATGGACAATAAGGCACAGATTAGGTATCCTATAAGTATACAGATAAAAATTTTGTCCCTAATTCGTGGTACGAAAATTGTTTTTTATGACGATGTACAAACGAGTCAAATTTCCTGTGCGCAAAAATAAACTCGCGTAAAATAACAATAAACAGCGTAATAGAGAGATATCGCTAAACCGAATAGCGTGCATGGACGTTAATAAGGCCAGGTGTTATTTCCTTTACGTGAGGTGGTATTAACTCTCTTCATTTATAGTTATCGGATCGGAAAGAATTCTGATCGCGTCGCGTCCGCTATTTAAACTTAACCTAACTTTGAATTTAAAACTTTGAAATTGTTTTGTTTACTAGGTATTTTAAAACTAAAGGGCTAAAATGCTTATTTCCAGTGCTTTATTGTTCAACGTCTGCCAGTGGGTTTAGGGCAACAGGCAACAAATTTTCTTAGAAGGGCTAAGTCGTCATCTGCTGTAAACCTAAGACTCTTTATAGGTTCTTTAGTATTGGACAAGGTGGAATCCATATTTTGGGCCATATTTATTTAATTAAAACTAATCCCAGCTACTTAAATATCAAATTACCTAATAAAACTAAAGCAATAATTCAAAACAATTCAAACATAACCTAAAATAAAAGATCTCGCCGGCCGGCTCCGGTTGTCAAATATCCGCACATGCCCATTTAAGCAATTTTTAAACGTTATCAGAGGTTATTTAGAAAGAGCGCTTGGTGTAATTGATCCGCAAATTACGTCAGGCGGTAACGTTATTAGCGGGTGTTGCGTTAAAAATTGACTCGCGCATATCGTAACCATGATAAGGTACGCGTAAATACTGGATGACGCTATTCGGTTTTCCGATATCTCTCTAATAACTGTGCCGGTCAAGCGCTGTGCACAATTTTAGAGGCCATAAGTGGGCGTGCTATGTGCGCAAACTAGTCACCTAACTAGTGCCCGATTACGAAAATTGGAACCACGAAAAACAATAAAGAAAAAACAAAAATTATAATCTGTATAATCTGTGAATAAGGCTTGTTTAACATTCTCGATCGATATGTTTGTTCTAGCTTCTGTAATAGTGATGGCTTCATTGTCTTGTAAAAACTGTGGCCGTTGTCGTATTAATAGGTTTTTATAGTGTTTCCTCCAGTCATTTAAAGATATAGTTCCCGTCCATCGTTCACGCGTACTTGTTTTCATCACCTTCAGTCTTCTCCATGCTTCCGTCGATCATGATACCTCAATGTAAGCAACCATCTAATTTTTTTAGTTAATTTGCTAATGTTTTCAACGAAAAAGTTTTTTTTTGTCATAAATATCTGGAAATTAATTAAGAATTTTGATAATTTATCACTCTAATCACCTTTTAATACTATTTATTACAAGCATTATACAGGGTGGTCCGAACTGTATTCCGGAAACTTCGGTGACATATTCTGCAGATAAAAATAAGTAAAAAAGTTCGTATAAATATATGTCCTAAAATGATTAGTTTCGGAGATACAGGGTGTAAAAGTTTCAATTTTATTTCTTACTTACTTTTTTCCAAATAATTTCTGAAGTAACGTCAATATTTGGATGAAAATTGGTGTCTGGGGGTTTTTTGACATGAGAAATTTGATTTTTATGTCAATATGACTCCTACTTGTAGGGGGCGCCACCTACATATTTTTTAACTGGTTAGAAGAGTAATAACTTTTCGTCCGTACCTGTATAGAACTATTAAGTAAAAAAATATACAATTACGGCGTTTTTTACGTAAAAAAGGTCTCTTGGTAAAAATCGCTACGAGTAATAGTTCTCGAAATATTTGGAATCGAAATTATCAATACCTATTATCATTGACATAAATAATTAAACATGTCAACTAAATAGTTATTAGACTGAAATCATAAATTTGAAATGTCTTTGTGTCAAAAGTTCAACAGAAACTGTTTTATCACCATTTTTTCGCAGAAAAAATTATGATTAGTTTAAAAAAATAAAAATTTCCCAAATTTATTATTTCAGTCAAATAACTATCTATTTTACTCAACGTGTGTATTTTTTGTCAATAATGGCATGTATTGACTATTTCCATTCTAACTATCTCGAGAACGGTTGCTCGTAGTGATTTTTGGCAAAAAACATTTTTTACGTAAAAAATCACGGAAATGTATATTTTTTCACTCGGTAGTTTTATACAGGTACGGACAAAAAGTTATTACTCCTCAAAACAGTGAAAACCAAATACGTTTAAATAAAATATACGACGGCCTCCCCATAAGAGCAATGAGAGGATTTACGTCCCAGTATTGAAGGAGGACAGAAAATCGAGTCGAATGGTTTCAAGACATAGGTTCATCCTTGTTTAGTCAAACCTCCTACAAACCAAGGATAGACTTATGTAGGAAATGCATTGAAATTCTATAGCCATCCTTCAATATCGGGACAGGAATTTAAGCGGTACCCTCCGTATACTTTATTTTAAACGTATTTGGTGAAAACACATGTAGGTGGCGCCCCCTACAAATAGGAGTCATATTGACGTCAAAATCAAATTTCTCGTGTCAAAAAACACCCAGACACCAATTTTCATCCAAATATTGACGTTACTTCAGAAATTATTTGGAAAAAATCGAAATAAAAATGAAATTTCTACACCCTGCATCTCCGAAACTAAGCATTTTCGGAAATACATTTATACAAAACTTTTTTACCTATTTTTATCTACAGAATATGCTGCCGAACTTTCCGGAATAAGTTCGGACCACCCTGTATACTTCCTTCTGATAACTTAAATATGTACCTATTTTCAGCTACCAAGACGGATTTGAGAGATGACCCAAGTATTAAATGTTATACGCCAGAAGACGGAAAGCGTTTAAAAAGGAAAGTCAAAGCGCAAAGCTATCGAGAATGTTCAGCTCTGAGAAATGAAGGTTTAGAAGAAATTTTTACAGAAGCAATAAAGGTCGTTCAAAAACATAAAGTTAAAAAACAACCACACCAGTGCACCATATTGTAGAACTATTGTATTTCCATATATCGTTACCTCTATATACTCAAAAAAAAGTCATATTGTGAACTTTTACCGTTGCATGTTTCTTATTTAATCTATTTCGGACATCTAAAAAATAAATAATAGCCCTGTCTCGTCCAATTTGTCAAATAATCTTTACTTTTTCATAAAATCTTAACATTCAAATTTTTAAACAAAAATCCCTCGTATGATTAGATTATGTTTTAAAATCAAGTACCAATGTGTTTTATATAAAAGTAGTAATACTTTACATAGCCAACGTGCAACCAAAGAAAAAAATAGACATTTAAATATTTGTCTTCTAGATATTAATGATTTATATGTAATTTGATAATTTATATAAGAAGTAATATTTATTTTCTTAATTAATAGGAATGTATTTGATATATTGAACGTGGGAGCAGCCACTACTCAGTTGGCATTGTATTATAATAAAGATATTAACTATTTTTATTCTTATTAATGACTGAAATTACTCTATATTATATTATTATTCATCTATGTCTCAAACGAAAATTATAAATATACCTAGGTAGTGAATATATACAGGGTGAATTACGGCCATGGTAGGTTAGACGTTTACTAGCTAGCCAAGGTAGGGAGGGTATCGAGGTATTTTCCGCACCCCGGCGTCAAATAGCCTCGAATCGCCTCTGTATCCCTACCGGGTGCGTCCCAAAAGTGGCTCACGCCTATAACTTTTTATTTTTTTTAGATAAAAAACGAGATTTGGTTGTAGTATATAACATATATTAGGATTGCTTGACGTATTCAATTATTTTTGGCCACTTCCTGTTTCACCGGAAATAATTTTGATTTTTAAATGGTACCCTCGGTATTTTTTTACTTTGTTCGATAGAAAATGAGACTCTGAATCGAATGACATATCATATGTCAACTTTTGACATATTCGCTCAAAAACAAATTGCATTTTAAATTTCAATCTGGAGTGCCATGGCTGTGTTAAAAGCACTAATTTTAATAAAGAAGCCTAGGAAAAATATATTTGATTGTCTAATGTTTTTAGTATCTTGTCCTAGCCGGTTAAAAGATGTCCAAATCGTATTTTTAATCATCTTAATTTTTTCAAATGGAACGAGGGTGGCTCATTAGCATATTTGGAATAAGCATTTTTTACGAATAATTTGATACCACACGCTTGGCATTTTGACTCAAATTGTCGTTATGAAGCACATGCTACAATTCCAAATAAACGATATTCGAAAATGTCAGAGGTTGACATATGATATGTCATTCTATTCAGGATGTCATTTTCTATCGAATAAAGAAAAAAAATATCGAATGTGCCATTTAAAAAAATCAAAAGTTGTAATCATTTCCGGTGAAATAGGAAGTGACCGAAAACAATTGAATACGTCAATCAACCCCAATTTATGTCATATACTAATATACCAAACCTCGTTTTTTAACTGAAAATGTAAAAAAAATTATAGGGGCGAGCCACTTTTGAGACGCACCCGGTATAACATATATTAGGATTGATTGACGTATTCAATTATTTTTGACCACTTTCTTTTTGATTTTTAAATGGCACCCTCGTTATATTTTTACCTTATGCGATAGAAAATGACACTCTGAATAGAAAGACAAATCATATGTCAACTTATGACATTTTCTCTTACAAAATAGTAGGGTAGACGCACCATTTGTGGTCATTGACCCTGTTGTAGCTACTTCTTTAAAAAAGCTTAAAAATTAAGCTTTTTCACGTCATTGTGACAACTGTGCATCTATAATTTTCTAAATGGATATATCGAGCGCCATACCCAATAGAAAATATTCAAATTTGGTGTAAAAGTCGACCGTTAATTCAAAAAGTAGTAGCACATATTTACTAGATGCTGTTTTCTTAACCCATTTCTTAAGGATAGCTTGGTAAGTAGAACTGAAATTATTAACAATAATCTGTATTGGGGTTTAATTTTCCATGATTTTTAGAAATATTATACATCTGGCAACTATTTTTTAAATTTATTATATTTAAATAATTAATATTTAGGAATTATTTGTGTGGCCACAAAAGCTGTAATTAAATTTTAATTATGTTCTACTTGTAGCCAGGTTATGGCCAAAAATGGTGCAATCAAAATCTAGTTGTGGCCACATACTATTTAGCTTTAAAATGTAAGTGTAAACGACGGACAACATAAGATGAAGAACATTTTATTTGTTATTATTCAGCTTTTAATAAAAGCTGAATAATAGTTCCTAAATATAATAATATCCCAAATACAATTATCGACCAAGATTACCAATCTGAACATATACCGTCATCAAATTTTCTTTCAGATGAGAAAACTAATATAGAAAATAATATAGATATAGAACTAGATGGAATAAAAATGAACGAATGCGATGAAAATAAAAATTATGAGAATTCAGAGGAAGACGATTCAGAACCACTAGATTAAACCATGCAGGAAAAGAAGACTAAGTAGACATAATTATTAACTTAAGGAAATTGTTAATCTTTAAAAAGAAAGAGACTACAATCCTATATTATAAGCGGATTGAATTAATGAAGGGAAAGGAGAAAAAACAAAAACTGGCAATAAAAACTTTACAAAAAAAAAACAATTTAAAGAAAATAAAGATCTTTCTAGTAGAAATGAATTGCTAACGATATTAACATATACGTTGAAACGAACTAACGCCAGTTCAAACTTTTGTGACATCTCCTTAATTAAATATAGGAAATTTTATTATTTTAAAGTACGGGAATCAGTTCCATCCAGGAAAAATCTTACAAATTGAAAATAATGAATATTATAACTGCGTAATGGTTCAGATCTGCGGCAATTGGAAGTAAAAATGACTTGCTTTGGTACAAACTGAGTGATATAACAATGAAAATTGATGAATCTAAAAAAATCAATTCAAGAGGCATATATGTGGTACCTGACAAATATTCAAGAATATTCTGATAAATTAGTGTACTTTGCTTATTGTTCCTCAAATTCGTATTAATATGTACCTAATTTTTATTTAACATTTGTATAACATATCCAAAAAGCAAAATAAGGTATCAGGTATCACTTGATTTGTTTTAAGAATTATAGGAATAAACGTTCATGTTTTTTTTTGTTAAAAATAAAAGCAATTACCTACCAAATGTCTCCTTTTATGTCTTTTTTTTTAAGAAATTAATAAAAAAATAACATTATTTGCTTAGTTATCTGCAAAACTCAATATAGAGAATATTTTTTGCAAGAATGTGGCCACAAATGGTAGTAAATGTGGCCACATTTGGCACAAGGTGGCCACAAATGGGAAAAATCGTATGTTTTCATAAAATGTTTATTTTCTGTTTATTAAGAATACAGATCTTTACAATAAAAGCAGATTTTGAAAGAAAAATGTTTGAAGAAGCACCAAAAATTTTGGTTTATCTCCAAAATTAACTACAAATCATTTTTCTGATAAGTCACTGTTTAGACTGTTTTTTAATGTGTGTTTTTTAATCATGGAGCATTGAAAAAATAGATTTGATGGTCTAATGTTTTTCGTGTATTATCCTGGCAAGTTAAAAATGCCCAAATAGTATTTTTAATCATACAGAGTGTTTCAAACAACATGTACCATCTCTAGTGGGGTGATTCCTCACGTAAAAATAAGATTTATTTTTCACATCAACATAGGTCCAGTTTTCATATCAACCATAGGTCGTAGCTACAGGGTGGTAAAGTCTTATATTAATCTTTCGATTTATTAAGGTGCGTTCGTACCGGCTGCGCCGCTCTGCGCCGCGCAGCGCAAAACATTTTTTAACATGTACTTTTGAAGTGTATTTTTTTAGCGCGCAGAAAAGTATATGTTAAAAAAATGTTTTGCGCGGCGCACAATAGTCATTTTTTGAAATCTAGGTGGATAAAAATCCGGTTTCCTTAGGTGTACTAATTTACATTTGTTTTTGTATATTGTAAAGATAAGAACTCATACTAAGAAAATATGCACAAACAGAAATGCCATTATTAGTTGATGTTTGAGAAAAAAAATATTGTATCGAGCAATTTAAAACAGGTATGGACTGCTTTGCAAATCCGAGCAGTAATAAAGTGAATTTTATTGACTTGTGTTCGCTAGTTCAAAAGATTTCAAAAATTTTAAAACATGGAAGGTGTAGATCAAGGTATGTACTATTAATTAAAAATATAACACATTCAAACTTGAAAGGTTTTAATAATATAGATAATTGTTTTGTGGCCCGTGCAAAAATATTTATTTTTATTCTTCTTTCAAATTCAAAAAGCTATATAAATCGATTCCCGCGGATTTCCGCTTTGATTCTGGCTTTATAAATATACTTAGGGTTTTATATTAATTGTGATATATTCTTATTTTGCATATATTTGCAAGTTTTATCAATATTTTTTGTGCTCAGCGACATGTTCGGTCACCCGTAGAACAATTTTTAAAGTTTGGTGCCAAGAACCCGAAAAAATCCAAAAGGTATATGATCTTTTTAATGGCTACTTGAGGTTTTTGGTGTAGATCATCTATCTGAGAAAGAGGAGTTATCGGTGCTAAATTTAATTCGAAAATTTTCGTATAAAGTAGTGAAAAATGGGAAAGCTGTCATAGGATTAAACATCAGTTTTAACGAAGAACAGTACGTGGCTCGAACCATCTATTTCTTTTTCTGAGATACATAACATCAGGAATGCACCCTCAAGTTCTCAAATTCAAACGGACACTTCCCGAGGTCGGCCAAGAAAAGCTTTTTAACATCTCACAAATAAAAGTAAGAAACGGAAGATTCAACATTTACTTAAACACTATTCAAAGGAGGAATTAATAAGGACCAGGACGAGAGAACATCTGATGGAAGTTTTTGTTCCAGTTGGGATACGAGTGATAGTGAATAGATCTTTTTATTTTAACGAATTGTTCATTTTCAAATTCTTAACCGAGACTAGGTAGTGTTTTAGTTTATAATTTTGAAACTTTTTCTAAAGGATGATTTAGTTCTTAGTATTCATAAGACGTTAATATTTTTAAAATTCTTGACGTTAATATTTTTAAAAACAAAAAAAACGTTAATATTTTTAAAATTCTTGACATTGAAAAGCAACAAGCTACCCACATTTTCATGTTGGAAATAGGACATAAATTTAATTTATGCATTTAGTGATGTATGTTTGTTTGTATACAGGGTATTTTTTTAATATTGCGACAAAATTCAGGGATGTTTTCCTGGAACGAAATGAAGCAAAAATGTTCCTATGAACATATATCCAGAAATGATTCGTTTCTTAGATACAGGGTGTTGAAAGTGAAAAATGTCATATTTGTTTTCGATCGAAAAAACGGCACACCTCTGCTTTTTCTAGAATAAAAATTATATTCATAATCTCCGACTAGTTTCTAACAAAAACGGCCTTTTTTCTGTTCGACAAAAGGTTTTTGCGTAAAAAAATAAAATAACC